TGAAACATTTTCCAAACAAATCAAAGCCTAACGTTTTAAGGACTAAGCTCTGGAATATTGCCTGGTTGCCCTGACAGATGATGGTAAAACATGAATGAAGGAAACGAGAACTCTTTAGAAGACTATTAGGACAGGCTGTTTGTTGGCATCTCTCACTGTATTTTGGATTTCTTTTCTTTTTTTTTAATGTTGTTGCTCTAATGCACATCAAGTAAATCAAATGTCAGGCCTAGTTGTCTAAAGGGCTTTCTTTCACAATGTACCCTGCCATTCAGGACGTGGCTTCTGCTGGCTTGTCTGAGGCCACTTCAGCTAATCCTGCTTCTAGGAAAGAGATGGAAACGATGTCTGTCAAAACAACCCTGCCTCCAGCACCCTGATAGAGGCCTTCCTGGCAGCTGAAAGTTTTAACTTCATAACTATTTTGAATAGTTTTTAGATGAAAGTGAGACTACTAAAACTCAGGTGGGAGTATTTATAGTAGTAGTGCAGTGATCTAGTTGGGCATGCAGGGCACGGGCCTAGTGTTGACTTTCAGTTGGCATCACACTACTGGTACAATCATGTGGCTGCCTGTAGCAGCTGTTTTTCACCCTCCCCAAATTAGCACCTGGAACAATTGTCCCAGTCACCCCACCCTAGTTATGCTACTAGTTTATAGCAGTATAAACAATTATTTGTCTGGGTGCAAATGTTCCCTTTCCTGATAGGAATAAGTAGTATAAAGTATTTGTGTACCAAAGAATTGCATTACACTAGGGAGTTGTGCCACTAAACCCATTTTTTAAAATTTAAATGAGCACTTCTGACAAGAGCTTCTACCTTTTCTTTTCCTTCTTATTCTGTCTCTGTGTTGGGGTTGAAAAAAATAATTATCCTACTTATTGGGAGAACTGTTAAACTCTATTTATAACTGTCACAGAGTACCATCTCCAGTGGTGGCTGGAAAGCCCCTGAAGACCAAAAAAAATTACCTTTACCCTGCTGTATGGGCAGTGTGCCCTCCCCCCACCTCCTTTAATTGCCAGTAAAATATCAGAGTATGCCCTGGTTTTAATTGAATGGCCACCAGCTGTTTGTGGTCCAAGCCTTATAGGCTAATTGTGTGGATCCATTCCACCCCTACACCATGCCCCAAGCCTTGCAGATGGCATCCTCATTGATGTTCTCTCAATATACACAAAGCCCCACCCTGGTCTACCAGACCCCAAGGTCTCTCCCTTAGCCCCTCTCTGGGCTGTCAGGCTCCTTGGTCTCTCCCTCAGTCCCACTCTTCCCCAGCCCTTTACTGGGCCTCTGGACCCTTAGGGTCCCAATCTTGCTTTAGGCATCCAGTTCTCCCTGTGAGGACCCACTCTCAGCCTCAGGCTCCTGTTCTTTCTGCTGGGCTCACTCTCAGCCTCAGGGCTCTTTTTCTTACCTTCTCCTTTGGACCCTCCTAAACTTGGATGGCCCCACCTTAGCTATTGTCATGCAGGGCCCCAATATCCTTGATCCCCTTCCTCTGAGGCTGTAGCTACACATGGACCATGGGCATTCATGGTTATCTGGCCAGATGCCGGGGGATTGGAAACTAGCTAATGTAGTCCCCATTTTTAAGAAAGGGAGGAAGGAGGACCCAAGTAACTATAGGCCCATAAGCCTCACCTCGGTCCTCGGGAAGATTTTGGAGAAAATCATCAAGGAGAACATCTGTGGGGGACAGCAGGGGAGATCATGCTCAGAGGCAATTAGCATGGGTTCATCAAACGCAGGTCCTGCCTGACCAACCTGATTGCCTTTTATGACCAGGTAACTAAATCTTTGGATGATGGTGTCACTGTGGACGTAATCGTACTAGACTTTAGGAAGGCCTTTGACACTGTTTCTCACCCCATTCTCATTAATAAACTAAGTGACTGTGGCATTGATGCCTGCACAGTTGGATGGGTAAAAAACTGGCTGATGGGGTGCACCCAGAGAGTAGTGGTAGACGGGTCATACTCAACCTGGCAAGATGTGAGCAGTGGGGTCCCCTAGGGCTCAGTCCTCGGGCCCGCACTGTTTAACATCTTCATCAGCGACTTGGACGAGGGGGTTGAAAGCACGTTGTCCAAGTTTGCTGATGACACTAAGATGTGGGGTGAGGTGAGCACACTTTAAGGGAGATAGAGGCTGCAACTAGATTTAGACAGACTACAAAAGTGGGCAGATGAGAATAGGATGGGGTTCAATGTAAATAAATGCAGGGTGCTGCACCTTGGGAGAAGGAATCCACAGCATACATACAGGCTGGGGAGTTCCCTTCTTGAAAGCAGAGGCGGAAAGGGATCTTGGAGTCATTATTGACTCCAAGATGAACATGAGCCACCAATGCCAGACCGTAGCCAGCAAGGCCAGCCATACCTGGTCATGCATCCAAAGATGCATCTCAAGCTGGTCCAGAGAGGTGATACTCCCCCTCTATGCAACATTGGTCAGGCCACAATTGGAGTACTGCGTCCAGTACTGGGCGCCACACTTTAAAAAGGATATGGCCAGCCTGGAGAGAGCTCAGAGGAGGGCCACCCACTTGGTGAAAGGGCAGCAGGACAGGCCCTATGATGAGAGACTGAGGGACCTGAACCTGTTCAGCCTCAGCAAGAGGAGGCTGAAGGGGGACTTGGTGGCTGCCTACAAACTCATCAGGGGAGATCAACGGCAAATAGGTAGAGCCCTTTTCTCCCCAGCACCACCTGGGGTGATGAGGAACAATGGTAATAAGCTGATGGAGAATAGGCTTAGGTTAGAGATCTGGAGGCAATATTTTACAGTTAGTGTGACCAGAATCTGGAACCAACTTCCTAGGGAAGTGGTCCTTGCCCCTACCTTGGGTAAATTAAAAAAGATGGTAAATGATCAGCTGTCTGGGGTCTTGTGAACCTATCTTTCATTCCTGCCTGTGGCAGGGGGGTCAGGCTAGATGATCTGTTCAGGTCCCTCCTGACCCTAGCTACTATAAAACTATGGACCTTCAACCTATTCATTCTAAGACCCTGTCCCCACCTCAGGCCAGTTGAGATCTCCAGGCTCACCAGGCTCTGGCAGTCTCTGCAGTAGTCCTTCCTAGACCTTTTGATCCTGTTGGGAACTGGTCTCACACGCCAGTTGAGATTCCATGGGTCAATCTCTTGCTGACAGCCCTTACTCACCTATGGGCCTACTTGCTCTACTAACAACTCCCTTCTGTGGGCTCAAGCCCTCTCAGACTTTTTTCTGGATTCCAAGACACCCCTCACTGGGCCCTAGGCCCATGGGTGCTCTGGCCCTGCTGGTAACTTCCCTGGCTATAGTCCCTCCATCCAACCCCCTCTTGGACTCCAGGACCACTAGAAACCTCCTCTCAATGCTTTTCTATCAAGGTGTGCTCCCTTAACCTTACCCCACCAAAGGGTAACCCACTAGGTAGTGGGGGCTAGGATTTTTGGGTGCCCCATATTCACCCTTCCCTGGGGTTTGCCATCAGTGGCACTTTCTAGGGGCTACCCCACCACTGTCACCACAAGCCTCAGTAGGGTGCAGCTTTTGGTCATGCTCAGGACTGACCTGCCCTGGCGATCCTGATGTTACATGCCCCTCCTGGGCCATAGACTTCCAGTCTCATTCCTTGCCCCTCATGGGCTACAGACCTCTAGGCTCCCTGGCCCTAGCTCAGTCTCACCTCCAGGCCCTTTGGCCCCAGCTTTCTCCACCTCTAGTCTCTCTGGGCTCTCCCACACAGCACCTCAGAAGGCTCTGGACCCCTAAACAGGTCCCACATGCTTAGCTTCTCTTTAGGCCCAGGTCCCTGACCCCTCATCAGGTCCCACATACTTGGCCCCTCTTTCTGGGCTCACCTGGACCCCACAGTAGGTCCCCATAGACACAACCCCTCTTTTTGGGCTCACCTGGACCTTTCAATAGGTTCTATACACACAGCCCCTCTTGCTCTGGGCTCACCCAGAACTCTCAATAATCAGCCCCACTCTTCTGGGGTCTGGACCCCTCCCTGGGTCTCTAGGAATCTCCCTCACTGCTTTAGTTTCTTCCCAAACCTCCAAACTGCTTCAGAGGTTATCGCTGCACTGGCACCATAGACATTCACTTAGCAGCCCCCAAGAAGTTACTGTGAACTCTGTTGTTCGGGTTTGGGCTTTGCTTAAGCCTGGCCCTCCACTAGTCCAATGACTCCAACACACAGCCCTAGCACCACCTGCAGCAGTGGCGACATGTAGTGGGTGCACGGGGGCATGTGTGCACTGCCTAAGCAACCGTGCTTGCCGCTTAGGCCATGGGAAGGGGGGGGGGGTAGGCAGGAGTGCTGGTGCCCCCCCTGCCAGCAGCAGCTGGGGAGTGGGATACCCCTCCCCCCCAGTCTCTGGGATCCGCTATGGGTCCCTCCCCAGTTGCTGACTGGTCACTGGGAGGTGGGGGTATGTGACTAAGGTGGCACCAGTTGCCCATGACCTGCAGGCTCCCTGGGTCAGCTGATTGCAGTGAGTGCTGGCTTGTTCCTGCAGGCTGGTCCCGCCCCTAGTGGGGGGGGGCCCCGCC